ATTTGTGCTTTACTTATTTATTTTTAATATATTTTTATTGATTTCAGAGAGGGAGAGAGAGACGGAAACAGCAATGATGAGAGAGAATCATTGATCAGCTGCCTCCTGCACATTCCCTACTGAGGACCGAGCCCCCAACACAGGCATGTGCCCTTGACAGGAATCAAACCTAGGACCTTTCAGTCTGCAGGCCGATGCTCTAGCCACTGAACCAAACCAGCCAGGGCTTGACCTGATCATTCTTACAACCAACATTTTCCAGATAACAGTCTGGGTTAAGGATATAGAAATGGCCATGAAACTCACTAGCTTATCTATGAATAAAAACTCTACCCCTAACCTCACTGCACCTTTTCCTAAAAATGCATAACTATCTACTGTTTCTCCCTTTCCTACTCAGTATATGCTACAAATTCTCCTTAATTTGAATTTTATCTATCCTGTGGAAATCCATCTCTCACTCTTTCCCTGACCTCACCGATCTTCCCTTTCTCCTAATTCTAAAGCACATATTAGCAAAAAAATATAAATAAATAAATAAAGCACATATTATCCATCTTCGTTCACCTTACATTTTTTCCGTTTGTCTCATCTTTTCCAAAAAACTGTCAGGTTCTTCAGGGCAGGTCCCATATTCCTAGGTATGCCTTAAGGACAGCCAGCAGAGAACCATTATGTATGGATAAGTATTCTGTCATATTTAATTGCATTAGACCTTAATTGACAAGTCAGGCACCTCAAATAATGTGATGCCTCCGGGCATCGAAGTAAAGCTTAGAAAAATACCTAAAGTCTTTCAAACTATCACTTTTCAAGAGCACTTCACAATGAGGACTTTAGGTGGTAAAAAAAAAAAAAAAGAAAAAAAAATGTAAGTTGTGGAAAGTTGGACTGTTTTCTCACCCTTAAAGGTAAATAAGCAAATGACTTAAAAGACCATAAGAGCTAAGTACGGTGACAGATGGATACTGGACTGTTCATGGTGATCACTTTGTAAGGTACAGAAATGTCAAAGCACTATGCTGTACACCCGAAGCTAATGTAACATCGTATGTCAACCGTAGTTTAAAAACAGCTTTACATGGGGGGGGGGGGGGTCCAAAAGACCCAAGGCGGCAATGTTCAGCAAGGCATCACGTCACTGGTCACACACATAGTGGACAGATTCCAGACACCCTGTCTGTGGTGAGAGGTCTGGGGGCTCTGATGGCCACTGGACAAAAATCAAGGCACTTGCTCTTCTCAGCACTGAAATGCGGCATAAAGCACACACGGCACACACAGGCCATCAAAACCCAGTAACATACAGTAACAGAAAGAAAATTCTGAGATGTTCTAAATTAAAACAAGAGGCCAGAGAGTGAGAGACAGAACAATTAGCTTCTTAATAGCTGTGAACCAGCTGACAAGACTGCTCACTTTCCTTCCATCCCCTGCTGGACTCCAGATTAATTCCCAGGTGGCTATTTCCGCAGGCTACCCTGGCCAGGGCCAGCAAGCCAGGAGCCTCAGCTTCTTGTTTACCCGCGGGCTTTCCCAACAGCTGCCCCCGCCGGTCCACAGGAGGGGACATCTCTTCTGTGGACTCTGCCTATCCCAGACCTGCCCCACTTCACCAGCTCCCACCTTTTTGCCTACAGCTCATCAAAATTCTTTACGTCTTTCTTGATGTATAAAAATGCTTGCAAGCTCCGAGATGATGGACATGTTATCTTTCCTACCAAGCTGGTGATTTAGACTCCAGCAATGGCCTAATAAGCCCTTTCTTTTAAAAAAGATTTTCAGCTGTCTAAACTAACATTTTTTTGTTTCCTAAGACGAAACTGTTGGGGCAAATGGGAAAGAAAGAAAATGCCATAAAAGCCTGAAAAAGCACAACTTTCGGTGATAAGGTTCGAACGCCCTTTGGTGCTTTTTCATAGGACTCCACTTGGGCGTCTAAGAAATAAGGCATTGGGACTGCACACTCCGTAGACTTCCTCATGGACGGAATCTGACCCTCGGTTAAGTTGCTGGGTGGCCACCCTTCCGTAGCCACCTTGACACTTCTAAGTGGAGCAATCACAACTCCCGCTGAAGGGCTAGCATTCTCTGGGGCGGGTCTCCCTGCAGGCGCCCCGACGCAGCCGACACAGCTCGGGTTTGCTGGCCTGCGGCACAGGCGCTGTCCTCCTCCCTCCAGGGGCCAACAGCCAGCCTGATGGAAACCGGTGGAGGCCGATGCGTGTCAGAGGATGCAGTCCCCCGCATGCTGCCCTGGATCTTTTCAGGAGGCAGAATGGGGGAGGGCGCCGGTGAGAGATGGCGCTGAAGACCCTGGCAGCAGGACAGCCCAAATAGCCAAGTTGAAACAATGTGCCCTGCCTTCTTCCTAAGCCATTTCTTTCAACGGCGGCCGGGAGGCGGGCGGGTCGCCCGCGGGTCATCAGTCCGCCGCTGTTTTCACTTTCCCCAGAACAAACCCCTCCCTCCCCATGACCTCCCAGCCTCTGCCCCGGAGACCACGGGGAAGGGGCTGTGCTTATCAATCCGCTGTTCTGATTCACCGAAGATGGGGGGGGGGGGGGGGGGGGGGGAGGAAATAGAGGAAGGTGAGAACAGCAGAAAGTGGGTACGGGAGGACGGTCATCGTGAGGAGGAGCCAGGTGAAGAAGAAAGAAGACGGAGGGAGCCCGGGCCGGCAGCGCAGTGGGTTGGATGGAGCATCCTGCCCACGGCCAAGGTTGCCAATCCCACCCCCGGTCGGAGCACATAGGGAAGCAGCCAATGAACGCACAAATAAGCGGAACAACAAACTGATGTTTCTCCAAGAAAATCAATCCATAAGTAAAAATGTTTAAGAAGAAAACTGAGGGGAGAGTTGTCAGGGGAAAACCTGCTAAGGAAGGAAAAGATGGGGGAGGGGCAGGTCAGGAGAGACGGGTTACGGGGCAGGTGGCGCGTCAGGGGGCCGGGAGGGCGGAGAGGGAGCGAGCAGCCGCGGCCGGAGAACAGTGGGCAGCGGGATTCGGGAGACCGATTTCGGGAGACCGATTTCGGGAGACCGATTTCGGGGGGTTGCGGGGCGCTTCGAACCCCTTCCGGGACTTCGGGGCGTGGGCAGGGACGCGGGGCTCTTACCGGTAGTTTGGGGTTGACCTCGCCCTTGCAAAAGTGGCAGAAAAACCGATGCGCGGCGACGGCGGCGCCGGTCCCGGCCGCCGAG